AAGTTTTGGTTGACCTAATACTGTGAGTTTCACAATTCATCTCAGATCCTGGCATGAAACTGAAATAAACAGTTTACAAATGCGAATCTGCCAGGTAAATTTTGACTGTCGAAACTGAGTAAAATTGAGAAACAACTCACCTGCGTTCGAAAATGAAGAGAGAATCAGGGGTGGCGAGACTAGAAAATGAGGGAACGAATATACCGGGAGTCTGAGGAAGCTGATGATAAATCATCTAGTCTATGCATCGTAAAATCAATAAAACTGGTATTAGTTACGTGCTGGATATAGGAGACGATTTGATTACGAGAGAGAAGTAGAGCTTACATTCTGCTTAGCAAAAAAATTAGGTAGGAAGATAACTTGCTCCCTCTGCAGCAGTATCAATTATTTATTTTCATTCGGTATATTGAATCATCAGCTGAGGAAATTAATTGAAACAGAAAATCTTCAATAGTTTGAACAATATTGTTATTACGTTCGAAAGATACACCGCAGCGGAATTGCGCTTTGTGAAAAAACGGGAGTCTGAGTTTGAAACTAATTCAAAGTGTCACAATTACCCAACAAAAAATTGAAATCTAATTGAACTGCAGCAACATCGTACGAGATTGTTCCAAAAATCACCCTCTCTAGCAGGTTCCAAGCTATTCCCATTAATGTCTACTTTCAAATGGAAAGTTAAAGAATACCTTTTAGACTTTTAGAGGGATGTTTTTATTCTATCAATGAATAATTTCAACTGTGTTCAATGTATTGTAATGTCTATGTTATTTTTCAACTCCATATTACACATCTACATGTTTATTTTTACTTGACGTTTCCTATATCATTGTTAAATGATCATTTCAAAGGAATAAAAACATTGTTATTTGTGAATAGTTCAAGTAATTTTCTTTTCAGTGATTATTGTGGGTGCAATTCGAATTATAATCGAATTCATTAGTGTTAGATCTATCACAAGATATAGAAAATGTCTCTTTCCTGGAAAACATTCCGATAAAATAAAATTACCATCAGAGTCACTATTTTCCGGGATGGAAGGCCGTGGATTTTTGGAATTCCTTCCTGACGTTTCACTGGCCATCGGAGATATTAACTCAGGATGATAAACCTCTGAGGAAGCTAGCCACTCAAGCCGGCGAAACGTCAGGAAAAATTTACAAAAACCACGTCCTTCAAACTCGGAAAATGGGGAGACTGAAAACCTCGGCGGCAAAAGCCTTAACCATTTTGTAAAATTACTATATTGTGAGATTTTCACGCGTTTCAACTCAAATCCAAGTTTCCCCAATACATCAATTTTTATCAGGAATAAAATATTCTGACAAATGGATAATAAAAATGTTTCCCATATGGTGCAAACTTTTTGAAACTCACTGTACATGAGTTCTGTTCCTACTTTTTATGATTTTACTCACATGAATACGTGGGTTTTGCTATCAATGTTTTATTCGACTTCATTTTGTAATAATTATAAGTACCTTTTTATATTTACTTTTACAAGTATCACATCATCATCCAGCGAATAATTTTTTACATGAGTTCCAATGATATTATGTAATTTAAAATATGGAAATATTGGAAATGAATATTATTATAATTCAAGACTATACAGAAATCATCATTCATTAATTTTTCTCGATAGTCTTTCATGGTTTATTATTGTTGATAAAGACACCACCAGATTTTTCGCGAGGATTATCCAATTTCGTATTTGAAATAACAAGTAGAAACACTGACTTACATCGCTATGCTATTATCAGTTTATATCATATATTTAATCATCCACTGTTCAGCTCAGTGATGATTTGTGATTTTTTGTATCAAAAAATGGGTTGAAGTTTTGATATATTTAATCGAGCTAGAGATAACCAACGTCAAGACATATTTCTCCTCTCTTCTTTTCCATCTCATTTGCAGTTTGATGTCGATTCTAACAAGTTCTTCAAGGAAATGGGAACAAAGTCAGACGTGGTCGAGGTTAAAAATATTGATATCTTAAGGAGAATCTGTATATTGGCAAAATATCAAAAGTTATGACATGTAAACACTTACAAGATTACTGAAAATCTTTTAAGAATATACAACCTCTCTGTTATATTTTTCAGACCTTGATTGAGGTTGAAACTAACACAATAATTAGGAATGTGTGATTCTAGACATACTGGTATTAATTGAAGAGCATCTACCTTTTGTACCATATTATATTACACAAAACCTGTTACTACAAGCAACTCTCATGTATATCACGGCAGTGAATGCTGTCTTTGTGAAACTACCACACAAATTGTATTATTTGAGTTCTTAGACAAAAATAGTGGTCATTGAACAGAAAATTTGAATTTTGACTGGATACTCTTTATGGTATATGCTTACTTCTACTGTCGGTACAGAAAATAAGCAGTATGTAATTGAAACTCAAATTTGAGTAGGTTTATACGTTGGTATATTGTTTCTGAACGAAATGCTTTTTCAAACAGAAACATAGTTGTTCAAAGCAACTGCAATCAATTTACTCAATATGGTATGGACTTTTTCATTCCAAAATAATTGAATTTATTACTCAACAGCTTCAGAATTAGATGAATTTTATTGATTCATTCACTGTAGCCTTCTATAAGAAATATGATTTCAGTAATTGAATAAATATTCTGCAAAACCTTCATGAAGTATGTTGATGATTGGAATTTAATGTTTTCTTCTTATTTGAAAAACAAAATAGACCAAATTATTCCAATACTCAAATCGTATGATGTCAAAACTGAACAAAATAAGTGGTAAATTAATGAAATGGTGTCACACAAATTAACTTATAGTCAATGCCGACATAACGGTGTTCAGTTCTTAAACCGAAGATACTTAGAGCAGTTTATACCAGTTGATATCATTAAAATTACTATATTGTGAGATTTTCACGCGTTTCACTAAACAATAAATAGGTTGTTGAGGTTCTATCTACTTGATGACTAATAATTTTACCTTTGGTTAGGTATAAACTAATTAGAAATTTAAACATGTAATAAAAAAATTATCAATTTCAAATGAGAAAACAGATTTAATAAAGAGAAATTATTCATTGCATCTTGGTCATTGAATAAATGATTCCTAAATCTATTGATTTCCAAGAAATCCAAACGATTGAGTTTGAAATCTTTCTGTCCCAAATGCACGTCATAGTTCTGATTGGACGAATGCCTGAACTAATTTTTTGGGTATCTGATGGAATCGGTTGATACTTGATGAAAATCCATAAAGTATTCACTTTATCGTGAAATTTTCACTTAACAGTTTTAGTATAGACATGCCATCAATTCAATTTAAAATGTACAAGAACATACCAATATATGACTTCAATTTTCTCACAAGAATATGATAACATCTCTATCATATGAGTCTTTTTTAAATATCAAGTGTCATAATTGGAACATAATTCTTAGAATATGTATATCCTTATTTGGAGGGTGTACTTTAGGAGGATTTTTGGTAAAGAAATGTGGAAAACTTTCTAAGAAAGGAAAAAAAAACATCCCGAGCAATAACTAATTAATGAAGAAATAATCAATTATTTGAAGTTGAATTCTTAAAAACATCGAAAAAGTTGGAAGTTTAGACTGCTTTTTTACGGTTTTACAGCGGTTGTTTAATCAATTACAATGAATTTCAATTGGTACCCATGCCAAGTGTTACATCAATATTTCTAACAGAAGTTATATATAGTTTTCGTAACTTAATAATTTTGAGATATCTCACATGAATCTTGAAATATGTGAAATGTGTCATTCGCTCAGCACAATTACGAAAATTATGGGTATGCATACATTTTAACTAATTGAATTTGCTGCACTCAGGATGTAGTCATTGACAATTATTCTAACTTGTTTGATGAAAATTATAACCAATAAATTCGATGCTTAGGTCATATCAAAGTTTTGGTTTCGGTAAAAATCGTTCAAATTATTGTCTTGGTTGGTGTCAATACAAGATGGTATCTATACTTTTCTCTATTAGTCGTGAAGCCTGTATAGTCTAAAATAAATAAACTGCACATCTAATAACAATGATATTCAACTTATAACTACAATAGAACGTTATGCGAAAGACATGGACGTTACTGGTTTACCTATAGCAAAAAAAAACTATTTATTGTTGTTATGTGTTCAAATATATTGTCTATATTCACGGCCTTCTTGGATCCATAATCAACATTTCTGGATACGGTTCTGTTCAAGATCAATGGACTTAAAACAAGATTCACGGGATAAAGGTATTCATTTTGTGCAGAAATATACCCGAACGAAATATGTGAAAATATATAGAAATATCAGCTTTGTTAGTGACCTGTAAACCGGAACTATATTTAGGATGATGCCATACAATGTTTTCGATCTGCAAAATGCAGAGATATTCTGAACCAAAACCTAATGAAAGTCAGTTATACGTTGTGAGAAAATAATAATCTTATCTGATTATACTCAGCAAACCAAACCAAAATCTGCCTGAAGGAATGGAAGACTTCAACTCCAGATAAGACAAGTAACCGCAGCAGACAAATAGAACGAACTTCTTCAGCGGATCTGAAGTTTATTTTAGTGTTTGACTATTCCAGTATTAACTGGAATATCTGTGTTACGTGCGTCTCTACGCCGGAAAGTTGAGAGAAACTTCTCCGAGAGTATATCAAAACGTGAAACAATCTACTGACGCGTGTGTTAGATGAAGATTGCCGAGGCACGATTTTTATGAAACACACACACGGATGAGTGTGCTTTTGCCGATGCCTAACTGTAAAATCAAGTGCCCCGCTCAACTGTTTTCGAGTTTCATCTGTTCGTTAGTCCCCGAATAGATTTAATTACCTAGCGAGTTAGGTATATTCCGCGCGATTAAATCCATCAACGTAAACAGAAGTATCGCCGCTTAAATGAAACTTGTATTCACTGTACTGTGAACACTTAACTTCAATACCGATCTACAGGCAACAATAAGAAGAAACTCACTCTTCTGCACATAGTCGTTATCCATCCTAGTTTTCCAAGAGGAATCACTTGATAACTGCACTGAAACAACCAAAAAAACAAAGGTCACAACCACTTCGGCACTTCTCTGATGGCAACACAAAACGATCACAAAAATACTAATTGAAGACCGGACCGACACGATCGGACGACCTCCAAGCACGCTGGCCGAGCGAAGAACGAAGAAAGTGCAGATGCCCAGATGGTATGCATGTTCGACACAACGAAGAAACAGCGCCCTCGAGTGGAGGGAATGCGACTCGATACCATCACCTATCTACCTGCATGCATCCTGTCTATACGGGGTGGCACACAATTTACAGACTTCGTGATAAGGCACTGGGGCTTAATAATGATGATCATAATAGTAAAGCTATTGTGATAATCTCGAGCTTATACTCTTTAAGTTAGAGCAATGTGATGTAAGAGGCATGTCACTGAATCTGATCAAATCATATGTGACTAACAAATCGCAAAGAGTATTTATTCATCAGGAATACTCAGAATTTCTAACTGAAAGTAAGCAAGGGATTCCCCAGGGGTCAATCCTGGGTCCTTTGTTGATATGCAAACTTTCTCCATAATTATTCAACTGTCCATGTAGTATTATATGCTGATGATGCATAAAAGCAAATGGAATGAAGGCATTGATGGATACTTCAGAAAAGAATCACAGGAAAGTAATAGAGTGGTGTGAATATAATCTTCTGACTATGAATATGGCTCTGCAACAAACTGAGAAAACTATCTATGCACTCAAATGAGTAAAAATGTGAAAGATGATAGGAACGCATCCAAGAAACCCATTAGATCTGCTTGTTATCACCTCATTCTAATTTTTGGTGAAATTTCAAATTCTGAAATCAAATAGATTACCTAATTTACTAGCATCGTTAAGTATAAGTACTGCAAAGGAGAAAATATGGAATAATTATGTATTCTTAATCACTATTCAATTCGGTCTGAAATTTTGTGAGTTGCTCGAAATTAAAAAGATCGATTACTCGGAAAGAAATTAACTGATATATTTGTAATAACTTTACTCATTCTAGATTATAAATTGAAAAAGAACACACACTGTTAATTGAATCACTATGAAAAAACAGTAAACTTTGTTCTGAGAAGTTCGTGAGAAACGAAATGTTTGCAATCTGTCCATGCAAAATGATAATAAGATTTTTTTCGCTGAAAATAACGCGATAATAAGTGTTTCGTGTCGCGCAAGTTGTACAGAATTTTACATGTTGGAAATTGTTCTATAATTCACAGTATTGAAACTGACAGTGAAAATCCGAATATTTACATGACATTCCCAAATCACCGTAATATCATATAGTTTTCAAATGAAATCACGAATAATACCTAAATATACCAATAACTGATGATAGATAATTATTCGAATACTGTTATTATAATGTAAAAATTCCCCATTCATGAATGTTATTATGTATCCTATAATTTACACTCATTTTTCACAAGGACGGAATAGATTGAATATATCATGAACTTCATGTCGGGCCGCTGAAACAACTTCTGGATGCATCAAAATCAGTGGTATGGGACCAGATGTGAATTTGTATCGGTGAGAAACAAAGAATCTTGGCAAAGTAAACCTGGAAATATATTTTGGAAAACCTTTTTCATGGAACAGACTGAGAAATGAACCTGAGCACTACTTCAACTGAGCATGTGTTAGGTCAGAATACCAACAGGGTTATCACTGGACACTGTATATTAAGAGGACATCTGAACATAGGGCTACATCCTCAGCTGCAGACAATGCAACGAAGGGACAGAAACATGTCTTATGTGAAAGTAAAGCACTGTATCACAGAGGCAAACAATTTATGGAGTGTGTAAATTATCCAGATGAATATGATAAACTTTGAACAAAGGACTATACAAACTAATACGAGGAACAAGACTGCCGGAATGTCATAAAAAGATGAAAAAACTTTAATAAGACCGCAGTATTTTCCAGAGACTTGGTCAGAGGGATCCCAGGGAGCTTATGAAATGGTCATATTTTGTAAGGTTGGACTTTCATTCACGGCACTGAAATTTAGGTGTGAAAAATGACTTGTATATCGCAACGTTTAGGTTGTTTGTTCATAGTCTTCTGAAAATAGGTTGACTGTAGGTGAAGAAAAGTTTTTGGCTTTCCGATTCTACATCTTCTTACAAAAAACGTGAGAAAGCTCAAATTTTTTTTTGTATGGAGATGGAGAAGCGGAAAGCCAAAATCATCTCTTTCCCAAAAATTAATCTCTCCTGAAAAATTCCCATTGCAATTTTAACTGTGAAATCTAACAGGGATAATTTATAGACTTCGAAATGGTGTGTCAAGGTTATATCTTGAAGTCAACGTACATACCACTGATGATGTCTGCCGCAGTAGCAGTCGAAACGTTTGGTACTCGACCACGGCCTACCAGCCTGGATTTTGTTCTCTTTGTCGACTTCTTTACAACTCACTCGAAATTCTCGAACGTGATTTATTATCTTGCTTTAGCAGCGATGGTTTCATTCAAAGTAGCCCGAATAAAACGCCTGGTATATTTCAAGAAGAATTTGGAAATGGGTGTTTCGCGAACATTAGCGTACCGTAATTTATGCCATGTAATTTATTGCATGAAATGTAAATGTACAACGCCGAGCAAAACTCATTCCATTAGCTATAAGCATTCACGTCATAAAGTTCTAACAACCTATCAACCAGATTTTATCAAACGGCAATTCTAGTGTATCTTCGCATAAACAGTTTTATTGAAGTAGAAACAGTATACCGAGTGTTCAGGATGAGATGACTTATCGGTCCAAAAAACGAAGCAAAACTAATATTCATTGTTTCATTTCCATTTAAGGTTAATTGATATAAATAATCAAATAATGAGTACACCTTTCATATCCTATCACTATTCATAAAGTTCAGACGAAATGCTTGTTATATTTGAAATTTTGGGTTTACTGAATAAAGTTAGACTATCTCAAAAAAAATCCACAGTTTTTGCGTCTCGTCCTCTGTATGTGATATACTGAGCAACCCATTCTTATTTTATTAATTGAATTTTCTTTATTGATCTTACTTTTAGTAAGTGGAAGTAGAAAAATTTCACACCAGAATAATAATAAGTTAGTGTCTGCTCTGAGAGAGGTGGGTTTTTCTACCTACGACAATTAAAAAAAATTGTATTGGAGGACTTTATACAAATGGAAAAAGGCAAACAGTTCAATTAACCCTGATGAGTTACTGCGTAAATTTAAAGTGTTTTCCAAAAAAATAGATTTATTTATCAGTTATTTGTCGTTTTCAATTATTTTACACATAAAAAAGCTGAGAAATTGTACAGATATTTGAAAACCAGGCCACCAAACGCGGACTGCGATTCCAAGAATTGCATTTACTGGATAACCTGCGAGTGCGGAGAATCATACATCGGTGAAACTAAGAGGCCATTGAAAGTTCGCATTACTGAGCATAAGAAACACACGCAGCGAAAAGAAACCAGTAAATCCAGAATAGCAGAACATGTTTGGACTCATCAACATAACATCAAGTGGGCTCAAGCTGAAATCATCCACAAAGAGGAACACTGATTTAGGAGAAAATTCAAAGAAGCCTTGTATATGTTGTCCTACAACGCATTTAGCCAAGCTAGCGTAGAGATACGTAAGATATCGAAATCTCTAATCAAGCGGAAAACGACCAACTCCCGCCAAACGGTCATCTCTCGCTAAAACCAATGAAGCGGTGAGAGGGAAGAGGGAAGAGGAAGCACTCGAATGACCTATAAATAGTCAGATCTCGGAGGAATAAGTCCAGTTATTCCCCGAAGACGATCGTGGATACTAACAATCGAAACGTCGTGACGTAACTTGGTTTGGAATCTTTAAATTTTTATTTTTCATTTTTTGTTAATAATATTTTTTAATTTTCCGCTTTTAATAATATTTCAACTTTTTTTTATTTTTTTTTTGTTGCTTGTATGTTATCTCTTTGTAAATTCAGTTTTTTGTTTAATTATATTGTTATTTGTCGGTTAATCTTTTTGATTTTTTACATATCCTTTCAGGGATTTCAAATCAATTTATATTATATTAGACAATGGAAGTCCGAACTGTTGAAATTAATCAAATATAAGCAGTTTATTCATCTATTATATGCAGTTTATTATAGAAGAAATTTCCAGCTTCATTGTGAAATGGCTTGGAAAATATATGTATAAGAGCTACACAGCTTACTGTTTCAGGAGAAGCTCTGTAACGCTTCTGGCCAATGAAGGGGGCAACATTACATCCATGAAACTTCACGGTGCCTGGAAATCTGCCTCCGTAGCAGAAGCATATGAAGAAGATAGTTTGAATAACAAAATTGAGATTTCTAACAAAATAATGAATTGTCCATATTCTTTCAAAAAAATTTATCTGATAAAATTGTGGAATCAACTCTTCAAGAAATATCTAACGTTTTTGATCAGCAGCAACATGGAACATCTTCGGAAATTTGAAAGTGATTGTTCAAACTTTACTATCAATTATTATTCCAATAAACGAAATTGTNCGGATTCTCGAGGGTTATGGGAGATTATATAATAAGGAAGAAAAAGTTTAGGTTAAGAATGAACGAAATCTGGACTTTTGAAAACGACGGAAACAAAGATAAATATATCTCAGTTCCATACCACCAATTTTTTTTGTACTTTGGGAGCTGTCTGACTTGTCCATTTAGACCAAGTCTCCAGAAAACACTGCAGCATCTTGGGCTTATTGCGTTTATTCTCCCATCTTCTCATGACACCCATTCCATCAGTCTCGTTCCCTGGACTAGTTTGTACAGGTTCCGTGTTGGATATTCGTCATATTCTTCTGGACGTAATTTCGTACGTCCATATATTGCCTGCCTTCTGTGATTCAGTGCCTCACATTCGCATAAGTTGTGTAGAGCTGTTTCTATCCCTTCGTTGCATAATCTGCAGCTGAGGTCTCCGTTGTACAGCCCCATTTTATTCAGGAGTCCTCTAAGCGGACAATGACCGGTAAGTAGCCCTGTAATTATTCTGAGCCGATCCCTACTATATTGAAATAGTTCTTCGGTTCTTTTCTCGGACGGTTCCCTAATGAAGGTTCTATTGTGTTTATTGCCAGGTACTTGTGTCCAGTACTCTGTTTTCTTCTTATTGGTC